AAAAAAAAAAAAAAACAAGAAATGTTTCATAAAGACAGCTTTTATAAACATACAGATTTGACAAGAATAAAAACTTGCATATAGCATTATCCTCAGAGCTAAGTAATAGTCCTCTGTAACACAGAAATGCTGGTAAGTATATTGTGGCATATTTACTGTTACCAAGTTAATAAAACCCCCAGTATTCAACATGCTACTTACATCTTCAGTAGTATCCCCCCCTTCTTAAGTGTAAATTTAGATGAGATGTGTGTCTATATCTTATTTTATGGAAGTGGTACAGGTAGAATTAAAGATCATTTTGCTACTTGATTGATATTTCCGAAGGTAATTTACACTGGCAATATGTAATATGTACTTTCTTCTTTATCAGTTTTCTTTGACATTTATTTTGGGAGGGAATTCTATTTCTTATACCTTTTGTTTGAAATATTCTTTAATATGTTTCATTTTTCTTCACATAATCTACAAATACTTTTTGGAGGGTACCATAAAAGGATAACCAATTAGAAACTTTGATTCTAATTCTTAAGCCAGATTTTATCCAAATCTGATATATAGGCCTTAACTCTTCAGTGTTTCTAAAAATTTTTTGAATTTTGCTGTATAGGTTGTCCATATTGCATCAGAGTTTTTATTGTATATATCATTGTTGAGATTGTGAATATTTAAGAAACATCTTGTAGCATTCATAACTTCAGAGACAGTTCATTCAGTTGTTAACAAAGTTGAAAAGTTTGTGGCAGAGGCCTGCAGAAGTTAAAATATTGACTATCTGGTCTTAACAAAAGTATCTCCCAATCTTTGTTCTAGTTGATGAGGCTTCCATGATTGGAATGATGATCTTTACTATATAAAAAAATAAGGTTAAGTCCAATTGAGTCTTGCTGTTTTTTGGAAATACTTGTTGATTTTTTCACTTGCAATCTAGTACCAGAATAAAAAACAAAACAAAACAAAAAATGGGGCAGCAATGGAGAACATCTTAATTTTTTTTTTTTTTTTTCTGAGACAGAGCCTCAAGCTGTCCCCCTGGGTAGAGTGCCGTAGCATCACAGCTCACAGCAACCTCCAACTCCTGGGCTCAAGCGAGTCTCCTGCCTCCACCTCCCAAGTAGCTGGGATTACAGGCACCTGCCACAATGCCCAGCTATTTTTTTTTTTTTTTGGTTGCAGCTGTCATTGTTGTTTTGCAGGCCCAGGCTGGATTGGAACCCACCAGTTCAGGTGTATGTGGCTGATGCCTTAGCCACTTGAGCCACAGGTGCCGAGCTGAACATCTTAATTTTTTAAGATTCAGTAGGTCTTCTTGTGCATTTGCCCTGGGCAGCTCTTTAAGTGAAGCCTTTACTTTGCCCACAATAGCACAGCAGTGAAAAAGAATTTTTGTACATGATATTACCTTATAATGTGTGTCTGCCTAACCTTTTTTCTTGTCATTGTTGTATCTTATATTTACAAAGCACTTTGTAATTCTCGGAGTCCTTTTGTACACATATCTTATTTACTTTCTGTCACAGCTATGTATAGTGGATAGAACAAACACTTCCATCCCTATTTCACTGCTAAGAAAACTAAGGTCCAGAAAACTTAATTGATTTGAGCAAAGCTGCATGGCAGTCTTCTGATCTCTCAATTATTTTCTTCTGTTTTTCCTTAATAGGACCCATTTTTTCACAAGAATCTATCCTAATTTATTTTTCTTCTGCAAGCCTACACTTGACTGGAAATCAAAAAACCACATTATTTTTATTTTTATTCAGATAATGTGTCCTCTAATAATTCATCTTGGGTGGTAATTTTTTTCCTTTAAAGTGCCTTCATTATTGCTTATTATCTTTCTTGTCTAAAACAACATGAATACTCAGAATATTACTTTTTTTTTCAGAATATTACTTTTAATTTTTACATAGAGGATACTTTTTAGCTAACTTAGACTACACTGTGAACTTAACACAGTTTGCAGTATTTGGATTATTATAACTGCTCCCTTTTTGTACTTTTATCCTTAAACTTTTCTTGTTTTTTCTTCAAAACATAAGAACGTAGCCGGGCACAATGGCTCATGCCTATAATCCTAGCACTTCTGAGAGGCGAGGCAGGTGGATCACCTGAGCTCAGGAGTTTGAGACCAGCCTGAGCAAAGCATGACCCTGTCTCTCCTAAAAATAGGAAAATTATCTGGGCATTGTGGTGGGTGCTTATAGTCTGAGCTACTCTGGAGGCTGACACAAGAGGATCATTTGAGCCCAGGAGTTTAAGGTTGCTATGAGCTATGACACCAGAGCACTCAACCCCTGGGTGACTTTGTCTCAAAAATAAAAACAAAGAACATGGCATTTAATTTCCACATCTGAAGTAAGAACATTACACAAAATAATTTTCTTTCAGTCTAACATACAGTCTTGATTTAGTGTGCAGGGGTTTTTTTGTTTGTTTTGTTTTGTTTTTCTTTTTGAAATAGAGTCTCACTTTGTCACCCTCGGTAGAGTGCCATGGTGTCATAGTTCACAGGAACCTCAAACTCTTGGGCTCAAGCAACTCTCTTATCTCAGCCTCCCAAGTAACTGGGACTACAGGCACCCATCTAATCATCACTAATAACTCAGGCCACCCTTCTGTTGTTAGTGAAACAGTGGTACCCCAAAATTAGAGTTTTCATTTCACAGTGTGAATGAGTCTGTAGTAATAAAGCTGAATTTACCTGAACAGACTTAAAATCTACTACTTTTGGGGGTGACTGGAAGTCTTACTCTATTGCCCAGGCTAGAGTACAGTGGCATCATTATAAGTCAGGGCAACCTCAGACTTTTGTGCTAAAGCAATCTTCCTCCAA